AAAAATAATATTTACTAAGTAAAGACATAAAAAAATGAAAGTAAAAAATAAAATAAATAAAAATATAAAAAGAAAAAATAAATGGGGCAGGGGCCCCGCCCCGCCCCGACCCGACCCGACCCGACCCAAACCCTCCTCATCCCGCTAGAACGAAATTGGGTCTTTCGAGAAAGTCTTCGTTGTCCACCAAGGACAGGGTCGGCTTTGCGCCACCCCATTGTTCTAGCTTATTAAGATTTGAGACTCCATCTTAAAAGATTAATCTTATTAAGAGGAGAAGTCTAATACCTTGTATGTTCATCTATGTTTTTATCTTTATTTGAGATTTATCCCTTAACATTGACTCGTTTGAGCAAATCAATCCTAAGATCTATGTGTTTATTAGCTCATTATTTTTGAATCTTAATCGAATGGAATTGCTCGTTGAGCTTAATGTCCTTGATACCATATTAAGACTTGTAATTCCATCTTAAAAGGTCATTCTTCGTTAAGAGGAGTAGTCAAGTCCCTTATACGTTGGTCTATGTTTTCATCTTTGTTCGATGTGGAATTTATTTCTTAACACAACTGATGCGGAATCTTGGTCACTACTCCGACGGAAAGACCATTGAGCGGCTTCTCCGCCAAGCTGAACCCGCTAACATTGCCGCCAGTGTATTTGATACTGCAAATTTTGGTCTAAGCATACTATGGTCTATGCATTACAATAGGCCTAAAGAAACAGAAACTTGAGCAGAAATGCGAGTGACAAGTACTTATATTTTGGTCTCTCAGAAATGAGCAGAAAAGTAGTGAATCTAGACTTCAAGGGATTTCACCAGAAGGCAATGAAATATGATTGGAAGAAGAAGGTGGGCACCAATCTCCCAGATAACTTATGTACGGTTGTTAGTTCTGTTCTTTTCATGCCTCTGGCAAACGAGCGTGGAATTGAATCCCCCACTGTCCGAGCCATGGCCTGGTTTTCTGCAGCAGTTTCTTCAGGAATTCCTCTTGTATTTGTTAACATTCAATCAGAACAAATTATCACCTTGGTATCATTCTTATATACATTGATTCTCTTTCATTTTTCTTTAGCTTACATGATCAGATATTTTAAAAAATTTCTGAGAATTCTTTTTCCTTTTGAAGACGAGAAATAATGTGACAAGCAAAGAGCTAACTTGGGGTAAACAACCAAACTCAAATACTGCTGTAAACGTTGTACAAGGTATAAGACTTTGGTTTCTTCCAGGTGTTGCAGAGGAAACACTAGAACTGTTTCCTCAATCAGGAGAAACCAGATATGGTATGGATATCAGACAAACCGACGAGGTAATTTCACAGGACCTTTATCTGGGCGATTTAATGATACGTGTATATAATGCCTAGAATGTATCCCAGTAAAAATTGCGGCTACAATTGATTTTACAGTCAAAGAGGATAAGTGTACAGTAATTAGGTCTCAACCGTCCTATATCATCCACGAAAACAACAAACTAACTCTTGTTTCCAATAAATTTAACCCCGACTACTCAAAAAATATAAAGCAACTAGGTCCTTAATGGACCATTTAATTTTCTGATACAATACAAAAGCAAAACTTGTTCCATGAATTGGTTAATTTCTTGCTGCAGGGTTTCATCTGCATTTACTCAGTGAGCAAGGGGACGGCTGCCGAGCGTGCTGGGCTCAGCCAGTTACTCGAGCAAGCCAGTAGAACCAGGAACCTGGTTGTGATGTCAAGATTACAGGGAAAGATTCTGATACCTTCAACAGTCGACTCAGAAGGTTTAATTCACTGTTGTGATAATGCTGATATTAAGGAAACACTCATTGCAGCAATGGAAAGAATGGACAGCATCCAATTACACATCATGTCCTGCCCCAATCAAGGTAATATTGGCACTCCGCTGGCAACTGGTGCTGCAATTCTCCGGCCTCCTAACTGATATTATTATCTGATGCCTTAATATTAAACAACAAGCTTCTAGACAGGGGCGGACCTGGGGGGTGGCCTGGGGGGCAGGTGCCCCCCCCCCCCCCCCCCCCCAAAAAAAAAATTTTTTTTTTTTTTTTTTTTTTTTTTTTTTTTTTTTTT